GGCTACACACGGTAGCCCATGGCAACCCACTGCAGCAGGGGCTGCAGCCTACGCCGTCGCCGGCGACTCACGGCAGCCCAGCTCCAGGTTGAGCTGCTGTTCAGCATCTTAGCTGTGGAGGGCAGTGTCACTGGCCCTCATGTGGAATCCAAACCGGGGCCCTCTGGCGTCCCAAGCCAGTTCTTAACCATCGCGCCACTCGGCCGGCCCTCCTTTTCCCTTCTTAAAGGTGTCTTTTCATGACTTGAGTGCCGTTGGGGACACCATGGGGCCAGAGGTGAGGCTTGGAGGGAGCAGCAGAGGTGGCCCCACACACCTGACTCCTGAAGGTATCCACTGGGTAGCGGGAGGGCCCAGCCAGCTCAGACTGGTGTGGGGAACAGAGCTGGCGTACGGAACAGACCTGGTGTGGGGTCTGTTCCCTGTGGGGACACACCTGGTGCGGGGGACAGATCTGGTGCAGGGACAGCCCTGGTGCAGGCAAAATGGTGAGGTACAAGTGACTCCTGTTTTGCTGGCTGAGTGGCCCAGCGAGCAGGCTCTGGTGGTGGTCTTTGTGGGCTCCCAGCACACAGGACACTTGCTCCAGCCAACTTGTCCCTCGGGATCGCCCCCAGTGTGAAGATGTGGGGCTGTGGGCACTGGGTGGTGTGACATCAGCACAAAGTGGTGGTCAGAGACCCTCCACAGCCATCAGAAGGAGAAGGTATTGGGACCCGGGGCTCAGGTAACGCCCTGCCCTCCTGCTGCCCCTCTGTGCGAGGCACAGCCTCTTGCGGGGAGTGCTCTTGGCCACTGCAGCTTTCAACCGCTTGAATAAAATAACTTTTCTCTTTGAGAAGCAAACATCTAGAAATTCCCCTGCTTTGCTTTCCCACCTAGGCCGCCACCTGGTGGCGATCTCTCCGCATTGCAGCGTCCCTTGGTCTTGGGAATCCAATTGGATTTTCCAGCCCAGGAAAGAAGACCCCTTGGGCCAAGCATCGCCCCGCCAAACACCACCGGTGGAGAAATGAGGCCGAGGTGAAGACACCGGGATGTTGCCACGTGATAGAATGATTTATTAGAACAAATTCCATGAGAAATCATATAAAATAACCATTTTCTGAAAGACACCCACAGACCACCTGAGGACAAACACAGAGGAGCCTCCGCGAAGCCAGACAAATAAGTTACCAATCCCAGGTCAAGAGCTGGAGGGGGGGGGAGGGACACAAATTTACGAATAAAAAAATTGTACAGTGAACCCGGGGGGGGGGGGCGGGGGCAATGAAGAAGGGTGTCGTGGACAAAGGAGCGTGGCCAGTGACCAGTTTCCAGGGACAGGCTGCGGGCAACTATTTGGGGCATGCGGGGGGTGGGGGACTAGGACTAGCACCTCCTCCGAGTGACACAGCAGGCTTGTGGGGTGGGGGCCAGGCGGGGACCCCACTGCCATTCACACACGTAAACATCAGGACCGTGCACTGGACGTCACATCAGCTAAATGTAAACAGGGAGGCACGTCACCCACCACGGCCTCCGTCCAGCCGCAGTGACCTCCCAGCAGTCGGCCCCTCCCACAATTGACACTGGCACAGATGCCAGGCGGGGTGCACTGCACACCTACACCACTCGTAAAGGTGAGACACCCCCGCCCCCCCGCCACAGCCACTGGGCTCTTTGGCTTAGAGGCTCCAGAAACACAGGTCCCCCAGGAGGGGCCACCTCTGCTCGCCTGGCCCGTTCCGCTGACGGAATCCTGAGAAAACAAAATTGCTCCAGGGACCTGTCCCTACTCCACCCCAAGGGATCAGGGGCCTGTGGGGCGCAAGCTGCGTGCAGAAGCCCCATTTAATGCCCACAGCGTCCAGGACAAGGACGATGCATTCTCTCAGGAGCTTCTGGAAGCCTGGTTCCAGCCACTTTGGTCTTGTGCTCACCTCCACCTGGCCCAGATGCACCAGTCGCCCAGTGCAGAGGCCCAGCGTCCATCACCGGGTCAGTTCCCGAGCGTGCAGATGTGCCTGGCTGGCTGCGAGTGGAGGTGTGCGTGCGTGCATGTGTGTGTGTGGCCGGCCCGGCTCACGCTCGGCAGGCCTCCCCTGCAGCCACTCACGTTCAGTGGGTTTGGCAGTTGTGTTGGCACCAAAGGCTTGAAGCAGCGGGGTTCCTGCCCCAAACATCTCCACAGCCACAGCCCTGCCCCAATTGCTGGACTCTGAGGCAGCTGGGGACCACCAGGCTCCTCAGCAGGGCTGGCCCCGGCACCCCGCCCGGCTCACACCCTCAAGTCCTGGGGCGTCGTGAGCCCCTCCCGGCTCCATGTTTGGCACTGAATGACCCCACAGCCCCACCTGTTTGCCTGGCCCCAGACAACACAGAGGGACAGGACAGGTAAGCGTGTGTCCCCCCAGACCACAAGGCAGGACCGGGACCTTCTAGGGCGGGGAGGTTGCTGAGGTGGAACAAACTGCTCTTTCCATGAACGCTAAAGACAAAAATAAGTGATAGAGAGGAGGCGGGACGCACCCGCAACGCTGGCCGTTGGCAGTGGCCACAACAGGAGCTGGGCCAGAAGGCCGGCGGGGCTGGACAACCGGCTGGGATGCTGGCTGGGAGCTGAGTGGGGGCTGGGCGTGGAGGCACCCACGGGGTTATGGCACGTGTGGGGGTCTTTATGGTGAACTGTCCACAGCTGGGAGGGGCCGCGGTGGTGAATGGGACGAGCAGGAGGCGCCGGACGCTCGCACACGGGGAGGCCGCCCTGGCCCCACCGCCTAGATCAGGAACCTCTCTGAGTCCGGGAGGAAGTCCGGGAGGAAGGAGGGGTCTGGCAGGCTCGGGGGTCCGCAGTTGGCCCTCTGCGGGAAGCTCCTCAGGGCCGAGGGGGGCGAAGACGGGCTCTGCGAAGCCGGCCGGCCTTTCCCGAGCTGCGCCGAGCCCGCAAAGCCCCTATTTCCGGTCAGCAGGTCCAGGTTCCCACTGGGGTCCACAATGGCATTGATGACTGGGGGGACGGGGGAGGGAGGGTTAGGCCGGCCAAGGGTCCTGCCGTGCCTCCCACGCCCGCCCCGGGGCCTCCCCGTAAACTATGGGCATGAGGCAGGTCTTCCACCAGGGTCCCTCGGGCCTGCCCGCCGCCTGCCTGGGCTGAAGCCCCAGTGAGGGCCCCCAGGTCTGGGCCGCACCCACCTTCCAGCTGCCTCTGCACGCGCCTCAGTTCTTTCAGGATGGAGCTGATCTCCTGCAAGTGAGGCAGAAGGGGAGACGGAACAAATGGAGCCGGCCCCCCCGGGTCGCCTCGCCCCCAGGGCTCTGGGGGCAGCAGTCGGGGTCCCGGGCTTGGGCCAGTTCCCCCACTCCCTCTGTGTGGCCGGGTGGGCTGGAGGACCCTGGAGTCGGGAGGGGCCTGCCTGTCCCTGCGCGTGGCCGGCCCGGCCGGCCTCACCTTGTTGGACGTCTTCAGGATGGGCACCTCATTCTCGGCATTGATCCTGGCTTCCAGGTCCTCCCACGCGCGGCCTGTGTTCTGAAAGAGGATCCTGCCCAGGCGGGGAGCGGGGGAGGCAGAGGACGGTGATGAGGGCACTGCACACGGCACCCTCCCAGACCATACCGCCTGCCACGGTGAAGCTCACGCCACCCCAGGGGAAACAGGCCCGGGACGGGACCTGGGCTGGCTGGTACCAGAGTCCGTCTCTGCCCGGCATGGGTCAGGGCTGGGAAGGGCTGGGGGGGAAGCGGAGGTGGGGTGGGGTGTGGCACAGGCCATCCTGGGGGCTCTCGCTGCCCCAGGCTCAGGGTCTGGCTGCCGGGAGCCATGGACACACGCACGTGCACATGCGTGTGCCCGCTGGATCACGTGCACTAGGAGGATACCAGTCCCACAGGGTCCTGGCTCCATGCACACGTTCGTATCTGCGGGGAGTCTGGCTAGGCATCCACTAAGCAGTGTCGGGGGAGCGGTTCTGCGGCCCCTTCCCGGCGGGGCTCCCAGGGCCAGCAGGGCATTCGGGGGCCTACTCACTTCATCTTCTCAGCAAGGTGCTCTGTGTTCTCACGGATGGCATGGGACAGCTGGGACACGGGGTTCAGCATCAGATTATCGAAGATCACCTGTGAGGACCAGGCATCAGCACAGTGCCCAGGCGTCCCCCAGAAAGCCTGCTCCCTCAGCACACCCGCCACCGGGCCGGCCCAGTCAGCTAAGGAGGTGGGTGGGGTGCCTGCCTCCTCGCGGTTCCGAGGCCGCGTCTTGTTGGCCAGGGGGTCCTCATGGCAGTCATTCATGTTCTGGTCCAAGTCCTGAGAGCTCAGGGAGCCGGGAGGCACCTTCTGGAAGTTGAGGCTGGCCTCGGGGATGCGCTGCACCAGCTGTAGGGGTGGGGGGGAGTCAGCTGAGCTGGGGGCGTCTGCCACAAGGTGGAGCACCTGCCCTACTATGACAGCGGGCGGACAGGGCGGACCCCAAGCCTGTGTGCTGAGGGCCCCTGGCTCACCGCCCTCTACCAAGGGCGCCAAAAGCCAAAAGGCCCAGGGGTGGGGGCCGGGCCCACCTCCTCACGGGCCGAGATGGTCGAGGCAGGCGTGCTGGGCACATTGCCGAGGGAGGAGCTTCGGGCGGGCCCTGCTGAGCCCAGCGAGTCGCCGTCACCGGCCACGTCGTGGATTTCCTGGGCGAGGATGGCCACGTCCTTCACCAGCGTCTGGCTCAATCTGCAGCCACCAGGAAAGAAGGCAGACCCTGTGGGGACCTCCCAGCCAGGCCTCGGAGCAGGAAGGTCACGGAGTAGGAGCCAGGCGGGACTCGATGACCCCGCTCCCCAGGCAGACGGACAAGCCCTCCCAGGAGGCAGCCGCTGAGTGAGGAGCAGGGGCCGGGGCAGGGGCAGGCAGCCTTGGCCGAACCACGCAACCGGCCACTGGCAATGCCTCCCACCAGGAGGCCCAGGTCGTTGATGCCCCAAGGGAGGGGTGGGAGTGGAGCTGGGACAGGGCCTAGGCAGGAAGGGTGGGCAGACACCCACAGGCTCCTGGGCCACCCCTCCTCCTCATCTGGCCGCCAGGGCTGAACATCAGGGCTGCCCCAGAACACGCAGGGCCACACAAGCCCTGCTCTGCGGGCAGGGAAATGGAGGTAGGAGAGGGGTGGGGTCGCAGATGAGGGTAGGAATCAGAGGGTAATGCAGGCAGGCCAATGCAGAAAGGCCAGGGGCCTCCCCACAGTGTAGGGAAGTTCCCAGGCCACCCAGAAAAGGACAGAGGCCAGCAGGGACCAGGAACAGCAACCTGTGCCCCACGGCCCGGAAAGCCCCAGCCAGATCCTGCAGCCTTCGGCACTGGCCCTCGAAGCACCTCAGGCCCACGACCAGCACGTCTGCACCTGAACCTCGACCCGGGCTTGGGACAGAGGGTCCCTCATCGCTGTCCACTGCCGCTCCCCTCACTCATGAAGGGACAAGCTCTACTCTACAGTCACCTAAGGGACGCGGCCCCCAGGCCCACCGAGGGCCAGGTCGTTGTCCTCAGCTGACCCACCTCTGCCCAAGAGCCTCCCAGCTGGCCCTTGGGGCCCGTCCACTCCAGAAGCACCTCCAGCCCCTGCCTGGCATGGCCACCGGAGCTCTTGCTCCCGACCAGGGCTGTCCTCAGCCCACTCAAGACAGGGGTCCTCCACACGGGGAACACAGGATGTCCCTCCAACTCCTGATGATGGACACTGACCACTGCCTCAGCACCTGCCCCGCCTGCCCGGCCCTTTGCTCCTTTGCCTCCTGCACCTAGCGCGTTGGTGTGTGCTCAACCTCTGGGAGCAGAGCCCACGGGGGGACCTGTGGACCCTCCCTCCTCCCCGTCCCCCCGAGCAGCGCCTCCTTCCAGAACCCCACGCCCTGCCTTCCTGGCTGGCCCTCAGCGCTCCTCACCCCCACTCCACACAGACGGCTTCACCCCCACTCCCCTTGGCGGCTCTGGGCGCTGGCCCTGGGCCTCGCCCCGTCGCTTGCGTCCTCTCTGCACAGCCTCATGCTGCCCACGGCCTCGGTCGCCATCCTTGTGCAGGTGAGGCCCACGTCTCCATCCCCCACACCAGCCACTCTCCCGGAGCCACCTGCTTCTGGTCACCTCCTTCCAGGAGGCTCGGAGGCTCCAGGTCAGCATCCGCAACACCGAACACTCGCCATCCGCCCGGCACCCTCCGGACCCCCAGAGGCCCTGTGGCAGGGCCCAGCCATTACAACGCTGGCCACCGTTCAGTGAAAGACTACTCCCTCATCCCCTGCCCTCCTCTGCACCGTCCTCCCAGCACCTGGCCTGGAGGTGACCCTTCTGCTAAGTGACCACATGAGCGCGTTCATGTTAATAAAAATCTTGGTGGAGGCCTTCGTTGTACCAGAGGTCCCCCACCTCCCAGGTGTATCTGCATTCACCCCCCTGCCACATCCATCCACCATCCAGCTGTCCATCCACTCAACTATCTAACTGTGCACGCCCCCTGCCACCCGTCCTTCCTTCCACCCATCCATCTGACCCTCCGTCATCCATCACCCATCCATCAGACAAGCATTCTCGAAGCCCATCCGGGAAGAACTCCCAGCCCCGTCCCCGCCACCCTCAGGGCACTCTTGGCCCCTGGGGAGGCCCGGGCAGGTCAGCAGCTCCCACCGTGAACTGGCGGAGCTCACCTGGCAATCTCTGCGATCTCGGCCGTCTGCACGACGAAGCCATAGGGGTCAGGCTCCTCTTCCTCGTCGTCTGTGTCCCGGAGGCCAGGGGTCCGGGGCCGGGCCCTGGTAGAGCTGCCAGGCCGTGGGGTCTGCGTGGCTGTTGAGGCACGGGAGCGTGTGTGTTTGGGGGAGCTGTGGTGGGAGCCGTACTCCTCCTCGGAGGTGGACGTGCAATCGGAGCCCTGCTGCCGGCGACGTGTGTCTCGCGTGAGTGAATTGGTTCCAGAAGCAAGAACAGAACAGAGCAGCATTCAGCACCCACGGCAGCCCGGGGTCCCTACGGGCAAGAGCCCAGCAGCCGCAAAGCGCTGGGGGACTGCAAGGCCACCACCAGCTCAGAGGCACATGCAGGCATGGGCCGCCTGGCATTTCCAAAGGCCCAGAGCCATGTCCATTAGATGGGAACCAGGGCCTTGGTGGCAGGGGCAGTGACGCCCACACCCCCCGAATGGGTAAACCTCCCCAAATGGGTCGGTCCCAGCCCTGGGCGGGACCTACAGGGTGACTGAGCACGGCCCTCACAGCCTCATGCCTGGTCTTACCCTGAGTGCTCCGTGCAGCCCTGCTGAGCCCCCTGCGGTGGCTGCGAACATGCACAAAGGGGGGGGGGGCGTCCCGCCAAGCAACTGTAGTCCTCAGCCACCTGCCACTCCGTCCTCCCTCCAGTGGCCCCTCAGCACTCCTTGCCCAGCGGCCCCCAGCCGTCAGCATGGGGGCAGGGGTGCGAGAGGGGTGCTGGGGGCAGAGGCTGGGCTAGCAACACCTACACCTCAAACCAATTCACTCAGAGCACAGCTTAGCTCCCAGCAGCGTAAGCCCGGCTCAGTGGACACAGATGTCCACCTTCCCTGGGCAGGAGGCCAGCTCCTGCGGCCACAGCGGCCTGTCCCTCCTGCTGCACACACGGGCAGCAGGCTACATGGGGCCTCTGCTTGTGTGGTGAGGGGAGACGGACACAGCCATCCCCCGGCCACAGGGCACCCAACGCGCGACCACAGCAGCCTGGGGGGAGCGCGCCAGGCCCTACCCCATATGGACGGCAGTACCCTACATGGACAGCTTGGCCTGCACATGTGCCTCACACGTCATCGCGGTCCCAGCTGGAAGTCTGGACTTCCAGGGAACAGGGGCAGGCCCAGCTGGCAGACAGGAGGGGCCCCTCCGTCCTAGATGTGGTCGGGGTCTTCTGCCCTCACACCAGGACAGCCTGGGCGCTGCGGGAGGCTGCCGCCTGTGCATGCCCACCCACGGGAACAGCGGCTCCTCTGGGGCTGGGACAGGGGCCCTGAGAACGGGCTCTGGGCTCACACACAGGAGCTCAGACCCACTGCCCAGGCCAACGCCACCCGCCCACTGCCGGCACTCACTGGGTGAGGAGTATCTGGCACTGCCTGGGCGCGCCCTGCTGAAGGGCTGGCGGGGAGCCATGGTGGCGTTGGTGGTCTTCCTGGCAGAGGCCCGAGCCTCAGCCATGGTAGGCTTGCGGCCAGCGCAGTACACCTCGACGCTGCGGCCAGAGAAGCCGGCGCGGGCTGGGGCCACCTCCGAGTCGCTGGGCCCTGTGAAGGAGCCCGCCCTCTTCCGGGGCATGGCCAGAATGTCCAGGCGAGACAGCTTCTTGGCCTGCTCAGCGGCCGGCCGCGCCACTGGCTCGGGGTTGGCCAGGGGCCCCCGTTCACTGTCCACCGCTTCTGAGTCCGAGGCGTCCCCCAGTCGGGCCCTCCTCAGCCGGGAGGCCCGTGTGGGCCGCGGGGTGGACAGGCTGTTGGAGCGGGTGAGCACCTGCTGCACCTTCTGGGCGCTGGCCGAGACGCGGCTCTGCTCTTCCCGGGCAGCTGGGGATGGCGGTGGGGCGGCGGGTTTTCGGCGAGACCCCAGCCGCCCGGCCCCAGTGGCTGTGGAGGTCTCATTGTCGGAAGTGACTGGGCCTGAGCCAGGTGGGTGGGCAAGGCCAGAGCCTCGCTCCTCGTCAGGCCAGTCCAGGGAGCCTTGGGGCCCCTGGCCACGCCGTCCGGCCAGGCGCCGCACTAGCTCTCCACGGCCAGTGTCCGCCGGGCCCGCTGGGCGGTGCTGCTTCTCCGACAGCCGCTCCCGGGCACAGCTGAGGACGGCTCCCCCCAGGTCCTGCGCTGCTGGTGGGGAGGGCAGCTTGTCCTTCCGCAGCCCCAGGGGCTGGGGGCTCGTAGGGCTGGGCCCATTCTTGCCACTGAGCAGGCTGATGGTGCTGGCCGTGTCCACGTCTGAGCCCCCAGACAGGGAGTCCTCTGGAGGCCCGGGGGTACCGCCCACCTCACCCTCTGCCTCTTCCACAGACTTGGAGAGCAGTCGGGCCCCCAGGGCTGCCAAGACCGTCTCTGTCTCCTTTAAGATCAGCTGGGTGTCCTGGGAGTGGAGGTCCATGCGCGAGGCCCGGGCTGCAGCCAGGTCCTGCAGGAGGAGGTGGCTGGAGATTTGAGGGAGCTGGCCAGGTGCAGGGGGGCCGCCGGCCGGCTCCTTGATGAAACTCTCCTGCCGGACGAAGGCCAGGGCCTCCTTGGCCTGGGCCGGGGCGGGGCCGTCGGGCTCTGGGGCCCGCCCCGTCTGCAGCTGGATGACCATCCTCCCACTGGTGCTCACGTACACAGCGTCCCTCGCCGGGATGCTGGGCTGGGCCACCCGCCCTGGGCCATCCACCTCCCCTGGAACCACAGATGTTTTCTGAGGAAAGGCAGCCTCTCCGTTCTGGTCTCCGATGAAGAAAGAGGTGTGGGCAGGGTCCCGGGGGGCCCTTGTTGGACGCCGGCCTCTCGTCCACACCAGTCCCTCCTGGGGGCTCCTGCGTCTCTCCTCCTGCAGGCCCCCATCTGACCCGCTGGCATCACTGAGGCTATCGGGTTCCAAGTCCTCCTGGCCCAAGGGGCGGCTGGGCTGCTCACTGCCCGGCTCTGGTGGCCCAGGCCCGCTCCTCCGGGTGGCCTCGGGGCCGGCGGGGCTGTCCGCCCTGTCACTGGGTAGCTGTGGGAGTAGTCGTCGATGGCGCACAGGCAGAGCCCCCTCGAGTTCCCCGGCTGTGCGCCCGGGGCCGTCCTCTGAGAAGACAAGGGCAGCCTGGTTAGAGTGGGCACCGGGGAACACTGACCCTGCTCCAGGCAAGGCTGGCACAAGCTCGCACCTGCGTTCCCAGTCAGTGGCCCGAGCCACAGTGGCCAAGCCCCTGTCCCCACTGCAGCACTGGAGCCACTTACCTGCCAGGCCCGGGTCCGAGTAGCTGTCAGCCAGGCTGGCCCAGCGGGACACCCACTTCTGACCCCCGGGGGATTCCGGCACTGGAGGGCCCTGCAGAGAGAAGGCAGAAGTGTATCTGTGGCCGGAGCGCCACGGGAGGTGCTGGGGCCAGGAGGGGGCGTCAAAGGCAGCCACCCCAATACCTGGCCCCGTACATGCCATCTCGTACCTGCCACGTTTCCCTGCAGAAACAGCCAGGAGGCTCCGGTTGCCTCGATTGGCTGTGGGGCCCCAACATACCATCCACGCCTGAAACCGGCTCCGTGGCCCTGAGGTCAGCAGCTTTGGCTCGGCCCAGCCCTGCCCATGGGCAGCACACACCCAGGCACCCAGCTTGACTTGAGGCCTCAGAGCCTACCCGAGCCCACCACACCGGGGCCCCAACCACCTGCCCGGTGGGCACACTCCTCGCACAATGTCCAGCCTGGCCTCATCTGGGGGTTGGAGTCCAGCTCTAAGCAGGACCAGAGCCTCCGAGTGTGTATAGGACCTGATGACCGGGCCTAGCCGGACACAGTCCTCTCCCGAGGGCGGTATCTGCTACCTGGAGCTCCCCCTGGGGTGCCACGCCCACTGGCCGGGAGGCGAACTCCTGCAGCAGGGCCATCCGCTGGGCCATCCCGTCACCGGACTCGTCTCTGTCCCCTCTGATGACTGGGCGAAAAATGGCTGAGGACACCCTGGAGAGTTCAGGGGACTCGAGAACACCAAACACCTGCCGGGAGGGACAGCCGGGCTGAGGGTCAGAGCGCCCAGCACCAGCCTCTGCTCAGGGACCCCACCCCGGGCACCAGGAGGGCAGGGCCCCTGGTTGGCCAGACTGGGCAGCAGCCGAGACACATAGCCTGGCTGTGCAGCTCTCATGCTGAGTGGGAAAGTGGTCTCAGCCCGGAAGAGCGAGGCCGGGCCAGAGCGGGCCGCCTGCACCGAGCCCACCTGGTCGATCATCTTGCGGGCCTCCTCCACCTCCTGGTCTTGCGTCTCGGTCTCGATGGTGTAGGTCCCCGCGTCACTGAGGCTGTCATCCTCCTCCTGTTTGCGTGCCTTGGTCAGCTGAGGGTCAGCGGGGGGTAGTGGTGGAGTTGAGGGGGCCACAGGACTAGTCCCACGGGGCGTCAGCGGGGCTGGTGGTGCTGGGGCCACCTTCTCAGAGCCGGGCCGGGCGGCCGGGGAGCCCTCCCGCAGGCACTGGGCCATGAAGTCCTGGGTCAGGCGGGAGCGACGCCCCACACTGCCGAAGGGGCGGGCGGAGGCCCGTGCGGGGGGAGAAGGGCCACCCAGCCGCTCCTCTGTCTTCTCCCGCTTAAGCGAGCTGGCCCGCTGTGGCCCCGAGCTGCCCGCCCCCCGGGCCGGGGCCGGGGCTGGGGCTCCTGGGCGGTCCCTGTCGGCCAGCCCTGGGCCTCGGCGCTTGTCGGCCTTGGGGTCCCCGGGCGGGGTGTGCGTGAAGGACTGGGAACGCTTCTTGCGGGGCGTGTCCTCGTCGAAGAACTCAATGACGAAGGCCTGCTGGTTGCGCAGCAGCTCCTGGGGGTCCCGCTTGATCTGCCGCTGCAGCCGCACCTGCTCCCCGTTGTCCATGGGGACCCCAGCTGCCGTGGCTGACGTGGCCATGGGGTCCTCCGAGTCGCTCTGCGTGCCGTCTTCGTGCTTGTGGTCTGGGGGAGGGGGACTCCAACTCATCAGGCCGAGAGATAGGACACAGCACCCCACACCACACAGAACTCAGCACACATGACTGAGACGAGCACCAGGAATGTGCCGGTCACCCCGACTGGGCAGGCGGGCCTTGGGCAATTAATTGAAACACTGAAATTGATCAAGCTGATCAGGGCCCCCCCACTCCTGGGGCGAGCAGACTCGGACAGACGTGGGGCCACGTGGCACCTGGTCCCCGGTAGGGCACTCACCCTTCAGGGTACGGGTGTGGATGGGCAGGTCGCTCTTGGTGCTGTGGCGGTCGTCTCCAGGGCCGGCCCGGCGCAGCAGGCTTGGGTCATTCTGCACCAGCCAGTCGGCCACCTTGGTCTCTGCAGAGACCACCTCCACAGGCGTGGCCTCCTTGCCCGGGGGCCGCCGCTGACGCAGGGAGAACTTGGTGACATGGTCCTTGATCTTCACCTTGCCCGGGTTGCAGTCGTCAAACTCGATGGTGAAGGAGGCGTGGCTCTGCACCACCGGTGCCACCCCGCCCCCGCCTGGCTCCTCATCCTTGGTGGGCACCTCGTGCGTGGGCACCTCAGGGGGCCGCGGTGGCTGTGGGGCCTCCTTTGTAGGGATCTCAAAGTAGCTGGGCTCCCGCCGGAATGAGTAGCCCTGAGGCTCCATGGGGGCCCGGAAGCCGACCGTTGTCCCGGTGAGGTCCCCGTCCTGCTGTGCCAGCTCCTTGGGCCGCTCTGGGGGTGGGGTGACACGGCCTCAGCAGGGACTGAAGGGCGGCACCCTCACCCACCCACCTCTGCTGGGGCTGTCAGCTATCTTCCACAAAGCAGGCAGCCCCAGACCACAGATCAGCCTCAGGACCTACCTGGGTATGGCCCTTCCTGATGCCGGTCCCCAGGCGGAGTGCCACCATCGTCCTCACCCCACCAGGAGGGCTGTCCATACAGGGGTGTGCGGTAGGCTGCTGCCTCTGCAAGGGGGGAGTTCAACCCTGGGTCGCCGTGGAAGGCCTGGAGCTGGGGAAGACTGGGGTCTGCAGGGGGGGGGTCTGGCATCACCTCCCAGCTTGGACCTGCAGCCACCCAGGACCCTGGCCAGCCGCCGACCACTCTCAGCCCTATTTCTGAATTGATGGCATTGACAACTGCCGTGACTTTGTGGCCACTGGCCTCCCCTGTCCCCATCTGTGCCTCCCCACTGGGTGACTGTTCCAAGGGCGGCTCATCCCTCGGGCAACACTGTCCTCAGCACCCCATCCTGGGGCGGGCAATGCCTTTAGCCCTGATGGAGGGGCAAGAGTTTGGCGATAAGCCCACACTCAGGGCGGGCCTCTCTCCAAGGGTCTGCAAATGTTTCAGGCCACAAATGGGTGACCCTAGAGGCTGAGTGCCACCGCAGTCTGACTGTACCACACAAGGTGCAGGGGTGTAGGCACACGGGTGGGTGTGTCTGCGGGGTGTGGAGGCACGTGTGCGTGTGCACGACACAGGTACCTGAGCTCACACGTGAGCAGGTTGTGCTATGGATGTGGGATGATGTGAGCCCAGGGGACTGTGAGGTAGAGCCAGGGCTTCTGTGGGTGCAAAGGGACTACCCTCGGGTGAGGCTAATCACGGGGGGCTTGTCGGGAGACCTGCAATGCCGTCATACCTGCTGCTGGTCTCCGGTCGCCCCGCTCCAGCCTGGAATTCGAGGACTCGCAGTATGGCATGTGCTCAGGCAGCACCTCACCCCTCTTGGGAACCGGACCCTTGACACTCACCTGCAGCTGGCTGGTGTACTTCTCGTGCTGGGGGCAGTGGGCACAGGTTAGGGGCGGGCAGCCGTTCGGGAGGACACCCCCACCCAGGCAGGTGGCCTGAGATGGGCCCAGTCCACACCCTAGCTTGGGGCAATCCTCAGGACCACAAAGCTTCCAAGAGGGAGCTGGGGCTTGTTTGGGGTGGGGGACGATAGAATGGGGAGCAGTCATCAGAGGGGAGATGGCCACCCCCAGGCCTCACCAGAGAGAAGGGCGGGACAGGCCTTGGGGCACAGGGTCAGCCACTCAGGGGCTGTTGGCGAGCAGTGGTCTGTCCGAGAAGCTGGTGTGTGCATATGTGCAAGTGCACGCATGTGTGCGTGCGCATGCATGTGTGCACATATGTGCACATGCATGCATGGGTGTGCGTGCATGTGTGCACGTGCATGCATGTGTGTGTGTGTGTGTGCGCGCGCATGTGTGTGTGTGTGTGTGTGTGCGTGCATGCCGGGGCCCCACCTGGCTGAGTTCTGCAGTCGTCGGAGCCAGGCTCACACTGACCCTGCCCCTCATTGGCCCTGTGACTCTGGACAGGCTACCCATGCTCCCTGTGCTTTTGGTAAATGGGCTGAGGCCAGTCTCCCCTGCTCCCCAATATAGGGCTCCTGGGGAAAGCTCTGGACGGGGTCCCCCACCTGCTATGGCCCTCCACCCAGGACCCTCGAGCCTGCCTGCAGCCTTGGCCACTCCTTCCTGCCTGCTCCTGGCCCCCTCCACTCACGCTAGCCCGATCAGGGTCATCCAGTACCCAAGAAGCTGGTGGGCCCTCTAGGGTTCTGGCCACGCCCACTAGCCATACCCACCATGGTGGCTGCAAAGGCCTGGAGGGGAACGGCTACCTCCCCACCTGCCAGACTGTGAGCTGGCGGGACAGGTCAGGCCAGGCCGCTGACTCAGCACCACAGCAAGGCCAGGGCAGCCAAGAGGCCTGGGAGGGATGGGCAGTGGGGAGCAGGGGACTGTGGGACACGGGGCCCTCGTAGTAGGGGCCCCCCAGGCCGAGCGCTGGCACTGACCCTGAGTGCCTCCTCGGGGACGCGGTGCTGCACACGCTCCAGCACGTACATGTTGGAATGTGGCAGGAGTTAAGGAGAACAGGGGGCAGGACAGGAAGTGAACATCAGCCTCAGGCCCGAGAGATAAAAGGGCCCCTCCCGGGACAGGCAGACAACGGGGCACTAGTGGGGGACTGTCCTGCCCCCGGTGTGGATCCCTGCAAGGACACATACCCTCGTGCACCAGGCATGTGTCCACAGTTCAGGGACAGCCACTGGGGTGGGCTGGCGGGCAGAGGCCGCTCCAGGTCATAGCACGCACATGCCCGAGAGTCACGGGCACACCCTCCACCCCCCACTCAGCCCAGAGCTTACACCACATGTCTAGCTCCCAGCTCCCATCCCAGACCACGCGCCAGCCCCCCGCATCCAAAGGTTCCAAGGGGGAGGGTCTCAGCCAGTGGCCAGGTCCACACCCACCAGTGGATGTGCCAACACGAGCGCAGGCTGAGGCGGGCAGAGGACAGGATATGCTCCTGTCATGCAGATGGGCCCCCAAGCTGCCCAGGGTGGAGGCACGGCCCCCAGTCCCCCATGATCTGGGCACAGAATGCCACCCTGGGTCACACAGGGCCTCTGGGTCCCAGGGAGAGCTCACGTGTTCCCCGGGTCCTGTGTGAGCTCAGGCCGGTGGTGGCCATAGGTGCATGGCCGGTGCCTTGGCTTGGGGTGCGGGTGGCAGGGGACAGAGTTCGGGCTGAAGCCTGAGCCGCGGTTCACCCTCTAACCTCTGTCAGCTGTGACCACTGAGACCCCACCTGCCCCCAAGATAACAGGGTGGCTGTGGCCCTGGGGACAGAGGGGGAGGCCAGGATGGCGGGCAGTGCCAGGAAAGGATATCGTAGCCGAAGCGGATGACGTCGTTGAGTTTCAGCGTGACGTACTTCTGGTCGGGGATGCGCGTCTCGTTCACAAACGTCTGCGGAGGAAACGGGGGGGGGGGGGGGGTGAGGCACTGACTGGAGCCGCCTTCCGTCCTGCTAGGGGCCGGCACTGCCCCTCTCACACCTGTGCCCAGTCTCGTGTCCCGAAAGGACCCCAGGACAGACGCTGCTGAAGGACTGGCCGGGGAGCTCGCGGTGCCACGCCTTGCCCGGCACCCAGGGACCCTGACGTAGTCCCTCAAGCAGAAAAGCCTCGGGCAGCTTGTGAAATGGGCCCTTTCTCTCATCCACACAGGAACGGGTGCTGGCCCCAGACCCCACCAGGCCCCGCGGTGCCCTCGGGAGCGGTGACGCCGGGCAGGCTGTGCCAGGTTGTTGGGCATCGCCCCCACGCAGGCTTGCGGGGCGTCAAAGGGCCAGTCCCTGGGAGCCCTGTTCCCTCCCACAGAGGCTCTCATCAGCCGTCAGCGGACAGCACGCTAGTCTGATGAGGGGCCCAGCATACTGAGGGCCTCTGGGGCAAGCCAAGGTGACAGAGGGACAACAGATGTGGCTCAAGCATGGCAACTGTGCCGGGTCTTGCCAAAGAAACAAGGAATGTGCAGGACTCATCACAGGACAGCGGGCCAGCTCCCCGGGCAGGCATCCCCGGCCGGAGTCTGCCATGGTTAGAGACATGGAGCAGTGCACCTGGGAGATGGCCGCAGCCAGGGCAAGCTCGGTTTGGGGCACATTTATGTAAAGTAGGGGTCTGTGGGCACTGAGGAGGGGGCAGAGGACAGCAACCCCAGCCTGGGGACAGCTGTGAGGCCCTGCAGACCCGCCTGGCCTGCCAGCCTGTCCTCGTCTGAGCTAGTGTCACACAGGCAGGCAGGAGCTGGCCCCAGGTCTGTGGACATCACAGTTCTCTGAGGAACCTGCCCCTGGGGGTCGAGGAGCAGGGACCAGGCCAGCAGCCCCAGGGACCCTCTCAAAGCCCACATGGTCTGGGGGCCTGAGACCAGTGCCCATGTGGGCACAGGGGAGGCCGGCCTGCCTTGCAACCCATTCAGAGGGGACTGCTACCTCTCACAGGAGGAAGAGTTCCGGGGGCTGACCCCAGCAGAGACCCCCGCTGGGAGCCCCCAGGAGGGACCGGGTGGGTGGAGCACGTGAGGCAGGGCCAGCCTGAGGCTGCTGTGGGACCCCCAAGTCAGGAGGGATGGAAAGGGCCCTCCTTGGCTCCAGCTAAAAGGGTTAGAGGCTGGTGGCTTTTTCTTATTGAGACAACATCCCAGGGCAGGCTCCTGTCCACCAAACACAGAAAGAAGCAAGACACCCAGACGCCTCCAGGACAGACACAGAGCACAGACTGACATTGGGCCGTGGAGAGGGCCACTGCCCCCCGCCCACCTGCCCCGTTTCTACCCCAAACACCAGGTTCCTCTCACCTGACCCCTCCCTATTCCTGCACTCAGGGCCTTCCTCCTGGTCACCTCCCTGTCCCCATCACCCAAACTCACCAAAGAGGTCACATACCCCCAGGACAGGGTACCCCGGCACACCCCCATCCGTCTCAGCAGCCCCACTTCCCTGACCACCTGAGGGGCTTGTCCTGCAGGGCCAGGTGGGCAGGCAGAGGGGCGTGGTCACGGAGGGGCGTGGTCACGGAGGGGCGTGGTCACGGAGGGGCGGGGCCAGCAGAGGAGGCCGGGCACTCACCCCGTTCAAGCTGCCCAGGTCCTTCACCCAGTGCTCGTCCCTGTCCTGGTCGTAGTTGATGACGGCGTGCTGCTTGTCCACGCTGCGGGACTGGGGGACACAGACGACTTTCAGGTGGCCTTCCCAGTGAGGCAGGACCCAGGGGACAGGAGCCCCCATCATCCCGCACCCACCACAATACCAACACCAGCCCACGGGCCTCAGAGCCCAGGAAGCCCCACCCACAGCCTCACACCTCGTGTGTGTGCCCTGGAAAGCACACCCAGGCCTGACCCGGCCACCGGGGCACACTACAGGGGTTTGCCAAGATGCCCGGCAGGTTCCCCTACCCCACTGCTGCCACCCTGGCCCCTCCCTTTGTGACCAGCCCTCCACAGCCAATAGGCCGGAGCCTCCCTTCCCCCCAAGCTGGTAGCTGCTCCTGGGTCAGCCGTGGGAGGGGCTGGGAACCCTCTGGTCATCAGGGACATGATGTTCGGTCCCAAGGCCAGGTGGGGGCGGGCAGGCTGGGCAGAGCGCAGGGGGCGGGTGAAAAGGCCCTCACAGCCTGCCCAACCGGCCCCACAGGGGCTCATATACCCCTCCAAGTGACAGGCATGTGCACACACACACACATGGGCGACGCGTCTCAGCCCCTACAGCCAGACGCTCGTGTGCACAGGACTCACACATCCTGAGCACACCCTGCCACCCTGCTCCAATGCACACGTGCACATACACACAGATACTTCCACCCTGAGCACTCCTAACTATCTCCCGGCCGTGACTCCACCCAGGACCTCATCCCCAAGGACAGTCACCCAGCTCCCTCAAACGGTCAAACGAGGGCTGCAGCCAACCCCCCATCCCCACCCTTCCACTGCCAGGGCTTGGGGACAGAGGCAGGGTGCTGAGGTCACATTCTACTTGCTTAGGCACTGCCAATGCGACCGCCTTACCCAGCCAAGAGGCCGGCGGCCTCAGCACTGAGCTGTCCACCCACGTGCTGGAGGCCCTGGGTGTCTGGGTGGCAACCACCTGAGAGGTTACAGGCCTGGGGTTCAAACCCAGGAGAGGCCGATACAACCGGCCAACCCAGGGTGCTGTCTGGCACTGGCCCTGGTGACAGTACGGACCCTGTGGGCCTGTTGGACAGTGCCCCCACAAGATCCCAGGCCCGCCTCCAGAGCACACAGTGGGAACAACGGGTTGTTACTCACTCCTGCTACCTGGGACGTCTCCCTGCCATGGCAGGGTGGCCCAGGACCTGAGCCCCCGAGTCACACCACCAGGCTTTTCAGCTGTCACAGGTGAGTGCCCAGGGTCCCTCCCCTGAGCAGCTGGCCACCACCACGGAGCCCACTTTGTCTCTGATGCTCTTTACCTGCCTAGTCCCCTCTCAAGGACAGGAAGTCCCCAGGGTAGGGTCTCCTTCCTCACCCAGAGACCCGAGCACACGGCAGGGCACAGTGAGGGTGGACACAGGCTCTGGCCCAGCCCTGCCCAGGTCACCCAGCTTGGCAGAGGCGCTAAGCCCGGCCCTGGAGAGGAGACAGCACTCACTCCCGTGCTCCAGCCTCTTCTGGATCCAGAGGCCCCAAGGTGGCCAGACCCACAATGAAGATGCTGCCTGGGGGGCCTGGGGGTGGCGTGAGTGGGGGAGAATGGGGCACAGACCCTCGGTCCCCCAGAAGGGAGCATGGGCGCAGGGGTGACTCAGAAGGCAGAGCACGGCCTACAGGGCCAGCCAGGGCCTCCGACAGACGCCGCCCCTGAGCCACCTCCCTGGCACCGCCCATGTGAGCCCGCGGAGGCACAGGTCAGAGGCTCCGTCTGCCCCAGGTACCCTCCCCAGGAAGCCCCCTGGACTGATCCTGGGGGGACTCCTGGTGACAACTCATCTGCCTCCCAAAGCCACGGGTCTTTGGCACGGTGAGTCTAACCTTGAGAATTACTGCCCAGTCCCCCCGGACCTCCCCTCTGCCCGTCTGAAATTGGCACCACGGCCAGACAGCTTCCAGCCACCCTGGACGCCAGGCACTGCCTCCTCCATTGGACTCCTGCCTGTCTCCATGAGGCCTGCCTGGTGCTCACCTCCCCCAGGAGCCATTCCTGGTGACCCTCCACTGCAGCCCTGCCCACTGGCCCCTGCCTGGGCCTCCCCAGCCTAGCACGCCTGGGGACAACGGCACTCCATTCTCTGGACCTCAGTGCTCTGGCTGCAGGGTGTTTGAGGGGCTTTCCCAGGACCCAGCCATGGGGTGGGGTTGACAAGCACTAGCAACTCTCTGGGGTGTCTGGGTGCTCAGGCTTGCCCCACCTCAAGCCAGGTAACTGCCCCTCTCGGTACCCCCAGGGGTCAGACACCACGATTCCTTTAGCTCGGCCCAGCAGCTGGGAGGACCAGGGCTCGATGATGAGGCTGGGGGCCCCCCTCCTGCACAGCCCGGGCTCGGGAGCAGGCCAGCTGCCACCTCAGCCCCGCCCTGCACACAGGTGCCACTGGGCCACAGGAACCCACTGTCTCGGGAAAGCAAACCCCGAGGCCTGGGGGCCAGGCTCTGCCCTCCTTGTGGACACACATCAGACCTCCGGGGCGTGCGGCCTGAGAAGGGACATGCCAAGGGGCTGCCGGCGCCTCCACGCCAGGACAGTGGGATGCGGGCCAGCCCCAGCCTCTGCCTGGCCCAAGGTGAGGGCACCGTCCCTCGCACTTGGGTGCCACCTTTGCTGATGAGCGACCCCTGGAAGGGCCTCTGGGCTGACCTTTCCAGCCTGAACCACTCTCCTCCGTCCCCAGGCCTCAGGCCTCCAACTCCTGGACACACCACCTCCGGGAAGCTCAAAACCAGCCCAGCCAAACCCAGGTCTTCCCTCACCACCCACCTGTCCCTCCGGCCTTCCCCGGGCTGCCACCGGCCACGCGCCCAGCTGCTCCGGCCCCCCCCCCCAGACACGGATGCCCACTGGCCTTCCTCAGCACCCCTCAGTCCGTCCACCTGCCTCCATCCCCGTGGCCACCTCCCTCCTGCCTGCCCAGCCCCCATCTGGCACTGCCTGTCACTCCTCTGCTCAAACTTCCTGGAAGGAAAGGCTGGCCTTGTCCCATGAGCCACAAGCTGCAGAGGCCTCTCCAAACCTGCCTTTCCCCACCCCGCCCCGGCCGCTGGCCGCCGCTGCAGGCTCTGGAGGTGCCATACCTGGGTCCTCTGCCCAGAACTGCCACCCTGCCTGTGCCCACTTTCCCTGTCCTGGCAAGATGCCCCACCTTCTGGCTCCCTGGACTTGGCACAGCCCACCCTCCCATTTGACCCAAAGACGAGCTGCCCCGTCCACCCCTGGCCAGGGCCTGTCACCAGGCACAGCTCCTGCCAGAACCCTCCCCAGACCGCGGGTAGCATCAGGACTCCTGGGGAACAGACAGGGAGGAGCCCCACCCCCAGGAACCTCCCTCCCAGAACAGAAGCAGACCCTGCCAAGCCAAGCTGAGGAGCTCAGAGGCTGGGCCCGCCCATGAGGGGTGGAGACAGCCCCTCAGCCTGGGAGTGAGCCTCGGACTCAAGACTGAAAAGGACAAAAACCAGGCCCCACGATGCAAGACGAGGAACCGCTGTGACAGATTCGTAGCCTTCCGCTCCAAACACACAGATTTTTGGAAAAGAGTCTAATTGTTTGTACTCACTCTACAATGGAACAAAGTTGTGCTTCCAAACATCGTGCATGCCGCCCTCGGTGGGGGAAAGCCCCGCTGGGCACGCCCTCCTGCCAGCTCACCCGGCATCACCCCAGCAGACCCCCTGGGCCTGCGGTGTGTGCAGGGGCTCCCGGGCCACCCACAGGCCGTGGTTTCCGGGTCAGCATGCCAGCAGACAAATCCCAGCTGTCACACGCTCCCACGGGGCAAACTGAGCGGAAGCAGGGAACACCTCGCCACAAACGCACACAGGCGTGCACACACGTGCACATGTGTGCACCCATGAGTATGCGGGCACGCCCTGCACCAGAGCGCCAGGCCACGGGGGCAGGCACACAGCCGGCAGTCCAGCTCTGGCAGCAGGCAGACCCGCGCCTGTGTCCCCGCTCACGTTTGCGTCATTTAACACGTCCTCACTGGCTCCAACTCAGTGCACTGCAGCCAGGACACTGTGGTGAGCAGGCGGTGGTGCCGCTGCAGAGCATGGGGTGGCACATGGCCAGGCTGGCGGCTCTGCCTCCAGAACAGGACCGTCCCCTCACCTCCTCCAGCCCCGAGGTCCAAGCCATGGCCCCTCTTGCCCAGATCAGGGCACACGCCTCCAGGACAGCCCCCAGCTCCCCGCCGTCTCCCGCTCACCACTGCCTCCTCCCTTCCCCCTGAACAGAGGCCCCTCCCCCACTGTGCCCAGTCCCCAGACCCCGTCACATCTGTCACATCTCCAGTGCCACCTTCTTAGGTCAGGTGAGGACACAGGCTGGGTGGGCTACCCTCAGGTAGGGGTGGGAGCGGCACATGGCGACACCTGAGGTGTGGGTAAAGGAGAAGCTAGTCAGGGTTTGCCCCAGGATGGCTGTTGGGGATGCTCACGCTGGCAGGGACCCTGGTGGAAGGGACCGAGGATGATGGACACTGGACTTGGACTGCCTCTGAGGAGCGCAGGGGACTGACGTCTGCAGGAGGCTGGGGGCTAAGACAGGGCGGAAGCCACCGTGTGAACCATGTGAGCAGAAGTGTGGCCAGGACCTCCAGGGAGAGGCGAGCAGTGGCGGGAGCGCAGGGAGGCGGGTGCGTTCCTACACACTACACCTGCACGGCCTCCCTGCACCTCAGCTTCCCCGCGTGACGGGGCTGAGAACGCGTTGCTCCCTTCCTGCCCAGGCTCTGTCCTGCTCAGCACTCCACCACCAACCAGCCAGAAACTAGGAATCGGACCCCAAACTCACTCTGAGTCCCCTGACACCCCCACCCCAAGCAGCCTCTTCCAATACATGGAAAAGAGTCAGAGTGAGGGCCTGGTGCAGAGGAGGGAGCCAGGTGGGGGGCAGGAGGAGCGCCCCAAGGCCTCCACAGGCTCCCATCACGTGCTGCCTTCTTTGAGAGGTCTTCCTGGCCACCCTGGTCGACCAGCAGGGCCATCAACAGGCCACACAGGTGCGGCGCAGAACACACAGCACCCTACCAGGGGTCAGGGCCAAGCGTGGCGACTGAACCCAGCTGCACCTTCAGACCTGCCTCCAATCAGGGTCACGTCCCACAATACGCCCAGGGAGCCACCGGCCACATCCAGGCCTCACGGGCCACTCCACAAGGCTGGAGGGTGCGACCTACGCTTACTGCCTGCTATGAATGCTCTTTACCCTTTAAAGTGGTTTAAAGAAATCAAACGAAGACTATTCATGACGCGTGCAACTGACATGAAAGTGGTATCTCAACGTCTGTAAATAAAGCACTACCAGTGTAGCCACGCCCGCTGGCGCTTCCGCACGCGGCCGGCAGAGCCGGGAGCTGCAATGGAGGCATCAGCCCATACACCCAGCCTTTACACATTCACCCCACCCCCACCCCCCACCCCCGCAAAGCCACGGACTCGGTCTCCCTGGCTTCAAAGGCATGGAGGAAAGGGGAGACGGTTCCAGACTGAAGATACTCAAGAGACCCAACACAACGTGAGAACTTGGCTGGGTCTAGAGCAGCGGTTCTCAACCTGTGGGTTGCGCTCCCTTTGGGCGTGGAATGACCCTTTCACAGGGGTCGCCGGGTACTCGTATGTGGGCGTATCTGCATATAGGCCTGGAGACGGATAGAAGAGCGGTGTCTCGGTTCCTAAGACCATTGAAAATACGTGTTTTCCGATGGTCTTAGGCGACCCCTGTGAAAGGTTGAGAACCGCTGGTCTCGAGTCAAGCAAACCAGAGAACGTGCGGGGAGAAGCCAGGGGTCCAGACGTGGATGGGGCCTGCCCTCAGGCGAGGGGTCCAGCGTGTGCTGCCCACATGAACATGCACGTGGCTGGGGCCCCTGGTTGTAGCCCAAGCCCCACGTGGCACAGAACCAGGGTCTGAGCAAGGCCTACCTGAGCAGGCCCCTTGGGCAGACCATGTAGTGCAGCCCACCTAGGATGCTGGTTCCCTTCTAAGAGCCCTGCCGTGGGGGTATGGAGCTTGGGGGGCTTGGGGCTGGGGTCCTGTGTGCCATGCCGTGAAAGGTCAAGGCTGTAGGGGGCCCACTCAATCACATTATGATGGGCAGAGAAAAGGACATCCAAGCTAGGGTAGACCCTATAGGGTCAGCCCACCGCCCGCTTCTTGTTCCCAAGCAGCCAGACACATGAGCCCCATGAAAGCCAAACTCGCGCTCTGAAACCCTGGCCAGAGAGCAAGTCCTGGCTGCTAAGTACAGGCCTCTCGTGCCTGAGAAAGGGCCCCCCAGGGTGCCTCAAAGGGACAGCAGCCACCATGGACAGGCCTCATGGTTGCAGCTGGCTCCCGGTGGGGCCCCCAGAAATAAGGACGTGGACAGATCCACTTCCCAGCACCTTCCAAAGGGGGACCCCCACCCCTTAAGAACCTGATAGAAACCTGAGCACCCTCCTGTCAGACCTGCGCCCAGAGCACGCACTCAGGCCCACTTCAGACCCCAGAGCCACGGGTGGGTCCAGGCCCCAGGTGGCTGCACGGAGGCCTCCTCACTGGGGGTCCCGCAGGTGCCCTCACTCACCTGCAGCATGAGCTCACACTCATCACGCCCCACGAAGATGAGCTCTCGCGGGAGCCGGTGGCGGGTGCCGCTGCTGCTCACCAGGAACCAGGAGGTGACACTCATCTTGACGCTGGTGAGGCCCGTCTGGCCCTGGGGGGAAAGGAGTCCTCAGAGCAGGCTCCCTGTCCGAGCCCAGGCCCCGGCCCCGGGATTCACCAAGGCTCAAGCACCTTCATGGCGCCATCGCCTCAGCCACTTCTAGAAACACTGGGCTCCAGCCACAGCAGGCCTCCCGCCCTACCTAAGTGTGTCTTTCCCACGGACCCCTCCCCAGCTGAGGTCTCCTGGTCCTCCCCTGTGCGCTAGCTATCCCTTCTAGGTGCTAGGGGTTGAGTCTGTGGCCATCAGTTGCACTGCCTGCATGTGGACCTACTTATGTCCCGTGACAGGACCAGGAGCAGCTCCCCTCAGTCGGAGTCCCCACAATGCCAGGTCCATGGCACCAGACCCAGGGCACAAACTGAACCAGAGGCTCTGCTTCCCGCTACCGGACACTCCGGGACAGGCCACAGGCACAGGGGCCTGAGGAGACAGCTGGAGACAGGTCCCCTGAGACACCAGTGCTCCTACCACTAAGAGGAGACCAAAGGTCCCTCAGTGGTCACTGTGGCCATCCTGCAGAAGCTCCCATCAGGACAGTACCGGCAGTCAGGGCATCAGGCAGCCCCTCCAATGCCCAAGAGGGAGGTGATCCTTTGGTACCCAAGGTCCTGGGGCATCAGCAAAGGAGGGTCTGAGGGCTGATGTGGTCGGGACAGCCAGGGAGCACATGGTGGCTTGAGGGGCACCATAGAGGCAACCTGGGCGATAACAAGAGCCAATGTCATCCTGAGACCAGGCCCTGGGGCTGCCGGAGGCTTATGGTCCTGCTGCTCTAGGACAGGGCCAGTCTGGGGCAGCCAGCGTGCACCCCCTCTCCCAGGTGCCCTGGTGGCCCAGAGCACGGGTGGAGCTGTCACTACACCAGTGCAGGTACACACGACCTCCACAAGCACCTCCAAAACCACCCACAAGTGCCCTGGGCCCACTCGCACTGCTCACACACACACACGGGGTAAAACTCATCCTGAGGCCACCACATGCTAGGCAGTGTCCTAGCCTCTGGCAGACAGCTGTGACCAAGACACACAGCAGCCCTGGATAACGGGGCTCCCTCCAAACAAACAATGAGAAGGATCTGAGAAGGTTCCAGTGACACAGAGAAAAACAGCGTGGGGTCAGGGATGGGCAGTGTCAGGAGGGGTCTGTTTATGGAGTGGCCAGGGAAGCCTCCCAGGGAAGGTGACATCTCAGTGGGCAGTGAACATCTCAGGGGTGCATTCCAGATAGAGGGAGTCCTGGAATGAGAGGGAAGTCCCTGCAGAGCTCAGGACATGCTGCATCACTGGGGCAGGGGCTCAGTGCAAAATGAAAGTGCCAGACCCTCTCCAAAATGATGAAGAATTTCAAAACAGGGAGAGCAGAGCGTTAAACCCAGCGCAGGGATCCGTGCAAGTGTGTGGGTCACAACCCGCGAGGTGGCCTGAGGTCCTGAGTCCATGAACTGACTCAGTGCACACAACAGGTGGGAGGCCAAGCAGGAGACTAGTCAAGACGCGAGCCACAAACCAGGGAGAGAGGACAGTGCTGGCACCCTGGTGAAAGTGGAGGAGGTGGGGGCTGGGGTCCTGGGGCCCCCCAGGGCTTTGAAGCCCTGGCCTCAGCTCCCTTCCAGGCAGGCAGTGGGCAAAGCCAACACCAGGCCCCACCCATCTGTGAAGGCCCACGTGACCATGTATCCCCTAGCATACCCTCACGTCACCTCAGGCAGGCAGGTGAGAAGGAAAACTCCTCCCCAGAAGGTAGCTCTAGCGGGTCAGAAACGCCCCCCCTGGGCCCCCTGCCCTTCCTCGGGGTCCACTGGGCATAGACACTAGAGACCAAGGGGCGAGAGGCCTCCACAGCCCAGACCACCTCGAAAACTCCCCAGCGGGCAGTGGGGGGGATGACAGGGCTCTCTTGGACAGCTCCCAGCCCCTGGTTGCCATTGCCAGCACCCAACTCCCAGCCCAGACGCCTCACATGTCCCACTCTCTGCCATCACCTGCTACCAGCTCCCTTGGGCGGCGGGCACCGAGACCCCACCCAGAGGCCAGTCTCTGCTTGCGGCAAAGGGAGGCCAACCACTCAGAGCCTATCTGCCTCGGAGCCAGGCGGCCCTGCCACCGACAGCCTATCGTGAAACGCCCAGGCCTGGCAGCCATGGATGCGCCCCAAAAACCCGAGGCCCGCTCCGGGCTGGGCACCATCGTTGCTAGGAAGGAGAATAATAAACACCCCAAACTTGTCCCCTCGGCCGCCCCAGGCAGAAGAGCCACCCGCCCGGAGGTCTGGACGGCTGGGGGTGGAGTCGCCGATGGGCAGGGGCTGGAGGCCGCCGTACTGGGAAAGGGAAGGGATAGGGCAGCGGCCGGCGGCTGGAAGGAGCAGACGGAACGGAGGCCGGGGCCAGGCCGGGAGAGGAGGCAGGGACAGCGGAGACGGCGACGGCGGCGAAGGGAAATGAGGAGACAGGGAGGAGGAGGAGGAGGAGGAGGAGGAGGAGGAACGCGGAGGGAGGGACCGCGGGAGGAGGGAGAGACCAGGCCGGGAGGCGGCCGGCGAGAGCGCCGGGCCGCAGCGGGAGGGAGCGGCGCCGCTCCTGAATCAGCGCCGGCCGGGGGCGGCCATGGCCGAGCCTGTGCGGGCCTGCGCCCCCTCTCCAGGCCGCGTGGACGCGCGTCCGGCGACCCCTCCCGGCCTGGCGCAGACCCGGGCCGCCTCCGCGGCGCAGGCACCCGCCTGGCCAGGT